GAAACAGTGCATCAGGGCAAAACATCTACACAGCCTGCTTTGTTGAGGTGTTATATCAACATATGACGCCCCTCTCTCTGCTCACTTCCTCCTTGGGCCCCAACAGCAGGAGGTTGGTGTCAACAAGGAATTCCGTCCCATGAATATTTCCCTCCTGAAAACAAGTCACACACAGGGCCCTAGTGAGGCCTTTACAGGTCCAATGAGTCTTTTAAACTTCACTGCGGCAATGTAAAAATGAGACGTCGCCAACATTATGCCATAAAATGATACCGGGCGGTGCTAATAACTAGCTTGCAACAACACAGAATGCTCACGCTGGGGCTGCTTCGCTTGGGAAAACCTATACACAACTTATCTTTAAAACTATTGATCAGCAAGAAATAATATCGGTCACATTTCAGAGTAAAAATGATTTCAGGTGTTATAAACCGATATGTCCCATGTACAAAGCATCTAAACTGCTGCTTCATACATTAAACAGGACCTGTGTGTCTGTAAACAGCATTTAGTGTGACATGAATCAACCCACCACAGTCCAGAAAAGTTTTTCAATGGCAATGAGTTGTTAACGTCACAGTTAGCTACGTTCAAATGTAATTTTAGCTTTAGACTTTGTGATGAAAGCTCAAATCCGGTCAGTTATGACAGATGGCAGTGGCACTTCTGAGAGAAGAATAAGAGTCAGTTGTGTAGCTGCTCAGTGGGCAGTGATGACCTGCTGATTATACATCATGACTTTTTTGAAGGGTGTTTAGTCTCTGTAGCTCTCTGGGCAAGGTGACTGAGCCCTTGCGGTAAACCTCATGAGTCTGGATCATGTTCTTTTAACCACAATTTACACAAAAACAGAGAACATCTTAAAACCCAGAATATGTCTGAGAGAAGAATTTGATTTGATTATAAATGCAATCCGATGGCATGGTGCATAACAGAGTAATTATAAAGTTGAATTCATCCACAAAGAGGAACGTTCTTAGCTTGCCCACCTTCATCTAACCATGTTATCACATTAAGAGTTTAAGGGATAGTTCACCCAAAAATGAAAATGACCCCATATACACCTAGGATGGCTTGAGAGTGAGTAAATCATGAGGTAATTTTCGATTTTTCACTATCCCTTTAAGCAAACAATTTGTTTGTAAATGAACTGAGAGACATTTAGTATCTTTCATTTAAAATTAAGCATGCAAGTTCTGTACAAAAGCTCCTCTACAAGACATCTGGATTATTCATGATGGCATGTAATGTTTGAAAGGCTTGTTTGAACGAAGATTCAACTGTCTGCAGCTTTTTATTAAGTGTATTGTTTAAGTGTAAGCATTTCAAAAACTCCAAGAGAATATGAAGAGCTTCTGCCTCAAAAATATGTGGAACAACATACAAAATAAAACATTTAAATGCACAATCATCTAAATGAAAGGAGTGTGCGGGGCAAAAAGAGGTGAGGAAAAAGGAAGTACGAAATGAGACTACAAATGCCAGTGCCCCTCTCAGGGATCAAATCTGTCTCGGATATCCTGCTCTACTATTCCACCTCTCTGCTTTTATGGGTCAACCACACACACACACTCTCTCTCTCTCTCACACACACACACATACACAGCATGAAAGTTGAAATTAGTTGTTTTAGTTTTGTATGTTTGACTTGTATGGTGACTTTACCATCTGTATAGATAGTGTTCAAACTGAGGGGTGCTGGTGAGGTCCTGGACTCTCTGAAGAAAGAGAGAAAAAATTTAAGAAAAATAAATAAATAAGAATTAAAAACCTTCTGTTCTGAATCTTAAAATTAATAATTAAAATATATTTATTTATTTACAGTGTTTCAAACTTTTGTTTTCCTTCATTTTAAAAATGCAATAAAAATAAATAAATAAACAAGAAAGAAAGAAAAGTGACAATTCAAACCTGGGACAGATGAAAACTAAGGCAGGCCATATCCCATTCAATGTGATTGGCAAGTAAGTCAGAGTTAAGTGAGGATCGACGTGTGGTACTTGATCCCTCACTGTGACAGGACACACAGTATGCCTACTACAAGAATAGAGATGACACTGTGATTAAATAAAAGGCCTGTGGCAGAGCTCACTGCCTCTCTAAGCCAAACTCACGTGGCTCTGGAAGTGTTTGCAAACAGCTAAAAGAGGTCAATCGCTCTCTGTGACTTCATCTTCTAAAAATAGACCAACACATGGCAAACTCCCCAGTAATGTGGTTTACACTGATCAGATGGAACTGACTACATTTATGAGCTTAAACAAAAAGAGGGGTCTGTGTGGTCTCTCGGTTGACCGCCAACTGAGTGAAGTCAACACCACATACAAGATTTTCTTTAGCATGCAGTCTAGGGCTGCATGATTATAATTGTAATTGCGATTAGAAATTTGATTAATTGTGCAGCCCTAAGTCACACGGTACGTCACACGTGCCGCTGGTCAATATCAGGATATCTGCTGACCGGGTGGCACACAACCCTATAGGCTAATAGGCTATACAAATCGATGGGGAAAATCGGTTGTTATTTTTAAATAGTAGTTGTCTGTAAAATCTAATGCATGCTAAGCATTTCCGCAGATATGCTTGTAATTACCTTATGTCCATCATATAACAATGCACACTCGAGTATAGTGTGATACTCATTTCCATCATCAGCACCTACTTTCGAAAACCTCTCCAGCATATTTCCTCATGTCAAGAGTTGGCAACAGACTTGTCTGAAATACTTTGCAGGCTCCTTCTCTCATCACCAAATGAGTTCTCACTACAACCACAATGCATGTCTCTTCGGTCGAGAAAGTCTAGCAGTGAAACATAAGTAGAGAGTGGAGGTGGCTAGCCAAAACATCCCACACCGAACACAACCGCACTGGAGGAAGGCAGGTGTCACTTTCACATGGAACCACAATGACTAAATGCTCTTCCCTTTACTTAGGCCAGTTTCACAGAGCATGTATAAACAGCATATACTGTAAGCAAAATTGCAGCAGAACTGTTTTGACACAGACAAAAGTCAGAAATGATAAACGGTTATCAGGAGAGAGTTACTACACATTAATCTACACCCCAAACCCAAGGTAGCTATAATCAGTGCTGATTAGATCTGTTTCTGCATGTGGAATTTGTATCAAGACTGACATGGGTGTCTTTTTTAATCAATGGATCAATAGATCACTTCATTTTACATTTTACGTTCATAAAGGCTTATTTTGTAGTGATAAATAAGTTTACACTGTACTTTCAATGTATTTCAATGTAGCTAAGTGTGCTACACCTCGGCAGCGACAATCTGCTTGCATCAATGCTTCTGTAAAACCAACATTTTGATGCCACAGAATTTGATGTCTTTGTGAGTGACCCTATTGCTAAAATATGAATGTGGCTATATTTTATTCACATAAACACCCATTTACACTGTAAATATTATAAATATGTGTATAATATTATCTGGAAAATATTACCTTTCTATTAAGTGTACCCAGCATTAAGAGAGTTGAACGTATAAATCTATGGTTGCCAATTTAATAAAGTAATTTTGATTAATCTCATGATTTCAGTTTTTAGAAAGCATATTGAAACTGTATTAATGTCAGATTTGGTGACAATTTTGATTTTTATGTAACTTTACCGCAGACACAATAGCACCCCCTTGCGGCCCCCTGTGCTACGCTTGTATATGCAGTGGGAATGACGAAATAAATATCTGTTTTCCAGCCTTGAATTTTCCAATTGTGAGCCACATTTAATATATATATCTGTAGATTCAGAAGCAGACATCCATTTGATTTGGTGAACTGCATCACAAACAACAGCTCCTGTTGGAGGAACCAAAAGGTAAATGCATGGATTAATGTGAAATGTCTGCACCTTAAAGAACACACAAAATGCAATCGGTTTACAAAAATGATGGGAATGTGCTGGGATGAAGGTCATCCCTTCAGTCTGACCGGATAAGAGGAGTCAGCAGCAGAGGGATTAACTTGCTTCAATCTGTGGTCTACATCTGATCAGAGGCTTGAACTCCTAACCTGATACCATCTTCACCCACTTGTTTACAATGGGCTGGATAACAGCAAGTCCTGCGCAGAAGACGATCCCTTGCCTTTCCTTAGCATTTAAAGGTGGAACGTTTAAATATATTTTTCTTTCTTTTTGTTTCTTTTTCTTTCTTTCTTTCTTTTCCATATGATTTAGGGACACTTGTTTAGGAGAATAAAATATCATAACCTCAGGTAGCATCCACAATTTATTTTCTTCTATTATTAATTAATCACCAAAATTAATCAAACTAATCCATAAATTTAATATGTGTCACTGTAGTTGATTTTGTTTCAAATAACCACTGCTGACACAATTAAAAAACGTCTTTTTTATTTATTTTAATATTTAATAATTTATTATCTATTAATATTATTTATTGTTCCAAAAATCCAGCCTACTAGCCTAGACCACCTGAAACTGATGTCACATTTAGTTGCAAAATATGTAACCTTCTGTACACATGGTATGTACGTAGATTGATATTTTCCTGTCTCAGATGCATAACTACAGCACCAGACTGTCATACTTTTGTCCTTGTCTAGATTTAATACATACTTGGAAAACTTCAAGTGCCTCCTGCAGCTCAGTCATACTTCCTCCTGAGAAGAACAACCTCTACCAGGTTTTCTCAGCGTGTGGAAAGAGACTATTAGTCAGCCGGCCCACGTCACAGCATGTTTACATCGTCAGCTCTGGTTCTGGGATGCAGTAGGGAGGGGGAGCTCCCCACAACATCCTATCCCAGTCCTGGTCGCTCATCTTCCAAGGCTGACCATAAACAACAGCTCTTATTGCATGGCAACAGGACGCTCTCCAAAACGCACGCTACCCAGCTCTCAGTCCAAACACTTCAAAGAGTGTGTACAAACAGAGGTCAGCAACCCTCAACAGCGGCAGATCACAGAGAAGACAGCCGGCCCTTAACATAGAGCTATATTTGGTGTGGAAAGTTACCATACCTCCGATACAGAGCGGGCAGTCGGTGAATCCTGGTGGTTGGCGAGAATGAGGAAAGGAAGGGTGCACAGCTGAGGATGCTGCATGGCCGAGAGAAGCTCAGACCGGGACGCCTCCATCTCTTCGTCTGATGCGGCACTGTTGAGGACAAACACCACACCTTGGGAACCTTGATAATATCGGCTCCAGTATTTCTTGATGGTCTCAGCTCCTACAGAGAGGGAAGCAGTAATGATGTACCATGTGACCGTTCATGTACCATCATAAGCAAGCAAAAATCAAAAGTGAAATATTGGCCCCTTTTCCATTTATGAGTGTGAATTTTAATTGAATTAGCTAAACCCAGCAGGAAGATGAACTGAATTTTTGAATTAAAAATGGCAGGAAGAAAAATTGAATAAATTGTAAATCAACAAAATTCAACACAGGTAATGCATTCTGGGGATATTTCTTGATGGTCTCAGCTCCTACAGAGAGGGAAGCAGTAATGATGTACCATGTGACCGTTCATGTACCATCATAAGCAAGCAAAAATCAAAAGTGAAATATTGGCCCCTTTTCCATTTATGAGTGTGAATTTTAATTGAATTAGCTAAACCCAGCAGGAAGATGAACTGAATTTTTTAATTAAAAATGGCAGGAAGAAAAATTGAATAAATTGTAAATCAACAAAATTCAACACAGGTAATGCATTCTGGGGAAAAAAAATATGTTCCATCATAGACCACAAAAGTTCACTTATTAAATATAACTAAATGTATGAGCTAAATAGTATTTTAGTAAATAATTTTTTTATAGGTGGTATCTATCTATCTATCTATCTATCTATCTATCTATCTATCTATCTATCTATCTAGCTATCATCTATCTATCTATCTATCTATCTATCTAATCTTCATGGCTTTTAAACCTAAAGTTTAAAAATTATCTAGAGAAATTTAGATTTTATAGCTTAACTTATTCAAATTGCAATTTTATCCTGTTTGCTACCTGAAGTCAAATTTAATTCAAACTGAGGAATTGAACTGGAGTTTAAAAGCCATTCTTCCTTAAATTCTGAATGGCACACAATCCTGGTTAAAGCCATTACAGGTCTTTCATTTCTGATGTTAGGTTCACATTCATGGATTCACTCTTGTACAAATCTGAAATTTCCAAGGAGATGTCACAGAACAGATCATGAAATAAAATAGTCCCATTTCCTTATAGCATCTTTCCCTGTAGCATCAGTCCATGAAGTATATCATATTATTCTGTTACAGTGCTCCTCTTGATTTCAAATAAGTTTTAAAATCTTTCAAACGAATCCCTTAGGCTTAGAGTACTAAACTTAGCCTGACTGGAGTCATCCAAAATAAATATGAAAGAAAAAAGGAAATAAATCATCAAGCACTATTCTGTCACAATAATCATAAGACCACAAGTCAAGTCATGTAACTGTTGACAAATCCGCTGAGATCACGATGACGCACGTTTGTAGAAAAAATGGTCTTGAAGTCTCAAAACAAAATTGTTTTGCGGAAACTGCAAGAAATAAATCACACTCGCCAGAAAAGAAGCATTTGGTTTGACTTGCCAGGCTAAACTAGTGTAAAATAACAGCACACAAGACTCCTGGGGAGATGTGAAACGGCAGTATGGTCATTTGCTCAGTGTTTTCTAACAGCCTGTTCGGAGATGCCAGTTTAGTTCAAATATCTCAATGATTTGGTTCAGCCATCTCACGTGTCTGTGCAAAGAGATGATAGTAATTCAGCAAACAATTTATAAAATGTGCAAATGAATACAGTAGAGATGTAGTAAATGAAATGAAATGTTTTTCCATTTACATAATGAAAGAGAATGGCACTTAATGATTATATGATTAATTATCAAGACATATCTGTGTCATCACAAGTATGACAAACATGTAAAAACCTGTTGGTTTTTGGAGGCATGTTATGCTCAACATCACAAAAACGTCTGCTTAGTTTAACCACATCTATTTCAAAGAGACATAATGGAGTTAGAAATAGACCAACAGACAGAAAGACCATGAGCAGCTAGTTTCTCAAAAAATGTTTCTCCAAAGAGTAAATAGGCCTTTTCAGGAACTATAGAATGTATTTGGGTTTCCACCAAGTCTCTTGGTTGCTTGTTCAAATGTTAAGCAAATGTTTTACTGGTTTATAGTCTACATATGGTTATTTTTAATGCTATAAAATAATGTGCACCATGCCACGGTAGTTGTTTTTATTACGTGGCACTCTGGAACAATTCATTTTGATTTGTTCATTCGAATGCTTATGTATAATGACTGCTAAACTGTATTTGATCGTTGCCAGTCAACCGATTTCCATAGTTGTTCACAGCAGCACTCCAGAGCCTCTTTCTTTCACATAATAAAATATATTCAATTTAAATGTCCATTTATTTATTTATTTGGCAAATAGTTGTGTAATAAATAGGATACTGTGCAGTCAGACAGTCATTATTGCAAAATGTAAACCTGTTCAGGATGATCTGATCACCCCATCAGGGTTCATTTTGCGATAATGACGTCTGACTGTAGGTCACGCCTTAGGTGTAAGTTATCACAAAGTGAGTCATCCACTAATCTCCCATCTTCATTACACTTCTGTTCAAAACATTTGGGGTCAGCAAGTTTGTTTTTTCTTTTTTTTAAAGAAATGAATACTTTTATTCAGCAAGGATGCATAAAATTGATCAAACGTAACAGTAAAGAAATGTATAATGTTACAAAAAATATTTCAAATAAATGCTGTTCTTATTCAGAATCTTGAAAAAAATGTATCACACTTTAAAAAAAAATATTAAGAAAGCATAACTGTTTTCAACGTCAATAATAATAATAATAATATGTATGTATGTTCCAGAGCCCTAAATCAGCATATTAGAATGATTTCTGAAGGATCATGTGACACTTAAGACACTTAATGGCTGCAGGAAATTAAGCTTTGCCATTACATTGCGTTTTAAAATATATTTATATTTCACAACATTCGTTTTTACTGTATTTTTGATCTAATCAATGCAGCCTTTGTGAGACAAAGAGACTTCTTACAAAAAACATTAAAAAGTCTCACTGAACTCAAACATTTGAACAGTAGTGTACGTCAAGTACACAGGAGCCTGTAACCTCATTTCAGACTTTCACCATCCAGATGTTTCACCACAGTCCAGCCACACCATTTACTGTTTCCCATAACACAATCAGAATAACAGCAAGAAGGTAAACTCAAGCTGACTGCACAGTGTCAGCTTGAAAAAAAAAAAAAAGGTGTCTGCTAAATTTAATGCCAGTTATCTGCATGCTCAGACAGCATCTGAGGATATATTTTTTTTATTTCTGCACTAATTTTGGGGCAAATCAATTGAATTCTTCTGAATTTATTTAAACATTGAGAAACATTAAACAAAGCTGTACTACACTCTCACAGCTAGATTAAAGCATAATCAAAATAGCCAAAATGCTAAATAAACATACAAGGATCAGGGAGTATGTAGAACGTGAGGAAATTCTGAGGAGTTTGTGGAGTTCAGTGGGTGTACTTTGCGACTGAGTCTGGACATTTGCTTGGATCTGTGTGGTTACATCAGTGATCAGTGGAGCACATCTCATACCCATCTATCATCATACTGACATCTTCTGCCATCTATTGGTCAATGGCCCTGTCAGGAAGTCAAATGTTAATTTGCTGGAAAAACATACTCAGAAAGTCACTGATGTTTCTGTATGGCATCCCAAGACATCATTCAAAACACATTCTGGTTTTGCTCAGACAGAATAATGGAGTACCCACAGTGGAGCACATCTCATACCCATCTATCATCATACTGACATCTTCTGCCATCTATTGGTCAATGGCCTGTCAGGAAGTCAAATGTTAATTTGCTGGAAAAACATACTCAGAAAGTCACTGATGTTTCTGTATGGCATCCCAAGACATCATTCAAAACGCATTCTGGTTTTACTCAGACAGAATAATGGAGTACCCGCTGTACATACTCATGATGTTGCAGGGCACCATTATGTAAGACATATGTGAGACTAAAAATGAAATTTTGCAAAAACAATCTACTCTTCCTAGGACCTGTTATCTTGACCTGCCAAGAGAGATGCAGATATGTTGAAACCGTCTGTCTTGGCTGCTCGTCTGTCCACATCTCCAGGGCATAGTGTTTCATCTTAACTCATTCAATGTCCATCATCCTGGATCACATCAGACAGCGTGGGTCTTGAAATGCCTTTCCACAGCTCAGATCCAGGTCATGGTATCCAGCTCCAAACCATCTAACCACAGGCAGCAGAAAGTACAAACAACCAAGCATAACCAGGTCTTAGGTTTCTTTTCTCCTTAAATATAAATGAGTAAAATACTTTGGCGCTGTTTAATGTAATCCACACTTCATTCCTGCATTAAGTGTGTGCCATTAACATTGCCATTCAAAAGTTTGTGGTCAGTAAGATTTTTTGTTTTGTTTTTTAAAGAAAGGGCACATTTAATTGATCAAAGGTGACAGTAAAGACTTACTAACAAAGTTACAAAAATTTCTATTTCAAATAAATGCTGCCTTTTTTTTAAACTTTAATTCGAAGAATCCTGAAGAAAAAAATGTATCAGTTTCCAAAAAATATAAAGTAGCACAACTGATTTCAACATCGATAATAATAATAAGAGTTAATAAGCGCCAAATGAGCATATTCAAATGATTTCTGAAGGTTCATGTGACACTGAGGACTGAAGTAATGACTGCTGAGTTATTTTAAATTGTAATAATATTTCACAATGTTACTGTTTTTACTGTATTGTTGTTAAAATAAAGGCAGCTTTGAGAGTGAGCATGAGAGAAAAAAAGAGAAGCAAACGTTTCAGCCTGGAACAGTATTTATGTGTGTAGCAAAGTGATAGGAATTTCTGGTCTGGTCTGGAACACCGGAAAGACAGAAAATACGAACAAGCGGAGTGATACAGTGCAACTTCCCCTGACTAAATACCAACGACAAAAGAAAGCTGCTTGACCAATCACATTTGAGAACCCTATCCCCCTTCCTCAATGCCTGATCAAAAATGTAATGTGTTATTGTGAAATCTTTTTCTAGCTAATCAGGAGAGCTTTGACCAGTTAGCACCATAAGTTTTTTTAACATATTTTTTTGGTTACAAGGATAAAGAAATACATACTTTTATACAATACAATTACTTATCA